ACAAAACATAACATAATGACAAGAAAAACTGTTTCGAGCCGAACAGAACAGAAAGACTGATAAGAGTTGACGGTGAAGAAGGAAATATATATATATATATATATATATATATATATATATATATATATATATATATATAATTATATATTGTTATTATGCGCTAATGTTTGTCTTATGTTATCTTACGTTGGTTGTTCGTGATGTGGTAATCGATATATGCACGGATTGCACTGATCACAATACTCGATACCTTATTCGAAAATTGGAAAAAAAAATGTAACAGACAGACCTTATTGGTTATTTTGATTAAAATTGTTTGGATTAATACTTGTTGCCTGAATGCATTTTGTTTATAGATAGACGGACAGACAGAGAGATAGATAGATAGATAGATAGATAGATAGATAGATAGATAGATAGATAGATAGATATGAAGTGACTGAAATTATAGATGGATAGATATGGAGAGACTGAGATAGATAGATAGATAGATAGATAGATAGATAGATAGATAGATAGATAGATAGATAGATAGAAACCTGCGTCACATTGAAAAAGCCATAGTCAGATAGATACCACCACATATATATAAATATAGATAGAGAGAGAAAGGGATGGGTAGAGAGAGTTGAATAGCTAAATACTTTGAAGCTTGTGTTACATGGGAAAGCCATATCAAGAAAGAAATGAACATATATATATATATATATATGTTATATATATATATATATATATATATATATATATATATATATATAGATAGATAGATAGATAGATAGATAGATAGAGAGAGAGAGAGAGAAAGAGAAAGAGATTTGAATAGATAGATAATTTGAAGCCCGAGTTACATTGGAAAAGCCATAGCTAGAAAGATAAGACCAGATAGATAGATAGATAGATAGATATTTTATTCTCCTTTCCTTTCTTTTCTCTTCGTTATTTTTAAATTACATCCCCGGCTACTTTATTCTGGTTTTGACTTCGTCTGTTTTGACTTAGAAACTTAGATAGATATGAAGAAGCTGTGATAGATACATGCATACATATATGCATACATATGTGTACATGTGTTTCTGTATATGTGTGTGTACGTTGAAGGTTCGCCGCTCAATAGATATGTGTTCTATTGTTTTTTCAGATACTTGCTACTTAAATGTATCATCTATAACTTCTTCAGGTTCAGATTAATCTTAAGAAGATTAAGCCAGAAGGAGCAGACGCTCTCGGCGAAACGCATCGTTTATAGCTTTTCCACTTTCATGATCTTTTGTTTCGAATACTATTCTACATCGTACAAACACCGGTTGCCCGATCGCTGACCGAGGGGCCGATCGCTGACCGAGCGGCCAATCGTTGACCGAGAGGCCGATCGCTGCTTTAGAGGCTGATCGCTGATCGAGAGGCCGATCGCTGATTGAGCGACCGATCGTTGACCGAGGGGCCGATCGCTGATCAAGAGGCTGATCGCTGATCGAGAGGCCGATCGTTGACCGAGAGGCCGATCGCTGACCAAAATGAGGTTCCCAAACTTCGAAAACCCGATGCTATCCGCGTCATTGCTTACTGTCATTCATAACTTTGCCCAATACGTTAGGCACTCTCAGCAACGAAGAGACTTCGTTCAATGATAAAAACCTGTCAAGATAATTGGCCAATGGCCGTGCCGCCTACGATTAGCGTAATCTTTTGGTTGAAAAACTGGCGGTGATCGTTAATACTCGAATCATATCACATTTATATGACATTGCCATAGTACTCAAGTGTTCCCCATTTATATACTGGCCAAGCTCGACTCTGCTTAACCTCATTGAAAGAACAAGAACCTCCGGCTTCAGTGCGATGTAGCGGTTAGCACATATTTATCTAGATTGATTCAGTCATTTTCTACGGTTTATCAACCCTTCACAAAGGCTATTTACACGTAAGTGAATATAACGAATCCAACTGGAACTCGTCTCTTCAGGTAGCAATTCCGAGCCGTTATCCTTTACACCATTTACTATTCAAAAGCGGCCATCCATCTAGATACTGACTAGGCCCGACGTTGCTTAACTTCTGTGATCGTGCGGGGACCGGTGTCTTCAACGTAAGCAGAGAGTGTGAGATATATATATATATGGTTGGATAGATGTCTATCTATCCAACCAAATATGTTAGCTCGATCTCTGATATTGAGCGCTTTCTAATAAGTACCGCGCATATAATATATAAATAATTATACATATATATATATATATATATACACACTTTTCACATATATATATATAGTTTTCATAAAGACTGTACGCATTCACCAAAATATACAGCGATTTTCTTAGCATAGCTTAGATGTGACACAAGGATGAATGAGTGGAGCTCTCAGTGAGGATTGAACTCGTTACACAGTCGCAATTGTGCTAGCGAGACGAGGTTGCTAACCATTAGACCACAACGGAGTGCACAAAATGACGTTCAATGCGTAGCCTAGAGGTGTCACAAGACCGAAATTATGGAGCCAACTGTGAGGATTGAACTCACTATTCAGTCGTCATTGATCTAACAAGACAAGCTCGTTAACAATTACATCACTTCGAAGTGCACTGATATTCTAAGTGAAGCTTAGATGCGGCAGTGGCACAAGGCACGAAGTGTGGATTGCCCAGTGAGGATCGAAATCATTACTCAATCGTAAGCGAAATCAACCTGCTAATCATTACATCGCACCCAAGTGCTCGTTCATTGATACGTAAGTGAAAGAACATAGAAGCGTAATAGTCTCTCTCTCTATTTGTGTGTGTGTGTGTGTGTGTGAGAGAGAGAGAGAGAGAGAGAACAGGACGGTGAATAACAGACATTAACTAGTACAACATTTTTGTTCTTTTTTACTTATTAATTGATATATTTTTAAAACTAATGTTCCCCCTAGACAAGGCCAAAGAGCCTCTCGTTGTAGACGATTACCGAAGGAATTTGTTGTGTAAGCGGCAAGAGGAGCAGTTTATGAGGATATAGAGGCATATGGAGGGATGGGGTAATGGTTAGTTGCTCGGATTGAGAAATAGGAGAGCCGAGGTCGAATTCATTATATATATATATATATATATATATATATATATATATATATATATATATATATATATATATATATATATATATATATATATATATAAATATATCTCTTTTGTTATATATATATAAATATATATATATATATATATATATATATATGAACACCTCTCTTTTCCTCTCATATATATATATATATATATATATATATATATATATATATATATATATATGTATATGAACTCACCTCTTTTGTTCCCATATAATATATATATGTATGAACCCATCTCTTTTGTTCTATATATATATATATATATATATATATATATATGAACCCATCTCTTTTGCTCCCATATATATATATATATATATATATATATATATATATATATATGTCGGGGGGGAATACTAGTAGGGCAGACTGAGTTCTATATCCTTGAATTCAAGCCACCTACCTTTTAGGCAAAGGTTGGAAGAAGGTAATTTCAAAAAGAAATCTACCTCATCATCTCGGTGCAAAAGGAACGGCAAGCCATTGCACTATTCGCTCTTGAATGTCACCAAGAACCACAATTGTGAATTGGTGGGGAATGGTAACCACAGTGGCGGCGCAGAATGTATAAAATGAAGGCTGGTGTAAGAAAATAACTATTAATGCTAGATTGTAGTGGTCGCGGAAGCATCCTCTTGGGAGTCGATTTCTCAAAGTAGCAGTTTGTGAGATAGAATTTGTTCGAATGAAACTTACTTCTAAATGAAGGAAATGGTGACTGGTTCGCTTCAATGTGTGTGACATGGCGGGTCCTAGCCGTGAAGACCAGGGGACTGGTGGAACTGGAAGAGTGTAGCTCGTCAGAACACTTATCATGGAAGCAGCGATGGAACAGCTTGCAAGGAAAGGGGTTAGCAGGGTGGAAATTAAATCATCACACACAAGGCCAGGTAGAGGCTTTTGCGCTCTATCGGGACTGAAAAGCGAATACTGCGACGCCCCATATATACCGAGGCAATTGGACGCGGCAAAAAAGAATTTTACTTCGCATTCATATCATTATCAAGACTTACCTTCAGAGGATGACGCATCACAATCTACAACACTCGGCTCCGCGATGTCTTGCGTCCGCATGAATGAATATCTGGGAGTCACGTGACTCAGCAGAAAACCCATTCAGAAGGCACTTGATTGATATCGGATTTTTCTCTCGCCTCTCATCCACTTCATTCACCACTCTCTCGTTGGCGCGTGTTCCTTGTCCGACTCCCTTAATAGCCGCCCTCGCTCTCCCTCTCTCTCTCCTTTCCTCTCTCTCTCTCCATTCTTCTCTCTCTCTCTCTCTCCCTTCCTCTCCCTCTCTTTCTGTGGCTGTTACTGAACTGGAATGGTATAATAATCACCGCCTTATGAATGGAACAACGTAATGAGATGGCAACATTGTGCATTGAACGAAGAATGGCGAGGAGGAAGAAAAATAAAGAATAGCAGAAAAGCAAAAGTGGAGACGTAAAGAGGGGGGATGAAGATGAAAATCAAACCCCGACGACCGACCGACCCCCCCAACCGAATATCGCAGAATTTAACGGGCGAAAAAAAAAAAGCATTGGACAAAGTAGCCGGGGATTCAAGTTGAGAAGAAAGAAGTGAAAAGGGAAGAAAGCAGAGTAAAGGAATTAAAAGGAAAAGAGGGTGTTGTAAAGAAAGAAAGAAAGAAAGAAAGAAAGAAAGAAAGAGTGGGTGTTGTAAAGAAAGGAAAGAAGAGAGGACGAAATTGAAGAAAGAAAGAAAGAAAGAAAGAAAGAAAGAAAAGAAAAAGAAACAAAGAAAGAAAGAAAGAAAGAAAGAGCAGAACATGTTTAAAAAAAAGAAAGAAAAGAAAAATAATTTTTCAAATAACAAATAAAATAAATATAGCTGAAATTACATCCTTTCCTGAATAAAGGATCCATGAGTCATCTATATGGCTCTTGAATATCTATCTATCTATCTATCTATCTATCTATCTATCTATCTATCTATCTATCTATCGCTCTTGAAAATCTATCTATCTATCTATCTATCTATCTATCTATCTATCTATCTATCTATCTATCTATGTGTACAAGTTTGTACTGGCATATTTGCGGTTTTCTCTTCCAAATCTAATCAACAGTAAAAATTCTTGTTTGTTCAGATTTTGAGAAATAAGTTAAGTAGTGAACCTTCAGCGTACACACAAGCGCACCAATATATATATATATATATATATATATATATATATATATATATATAGAGAGAGAGAGAGAGAGAGAGAGAGAGAGGGGGATAGAGAGACATATATCATCTGTTTCTATCCTACACTATTAACTCTTCCAAAAGGATTATCACCTTTCTTGATCTCATCCCCACCCTCGACCCCACGGTCTTCATATTTCTTCCATCACCATGGCAATACCCAATACTTACTAAACGCAGCCATTCAACATTCAGCATCTCCAACGCGTGTTCAATAACCGATCACGTTCGTTGGCGCCACGCCTACCTCCGTTTAGTGTTTTCACATACAGATAATATATGACCCAAAACGCCCACGCTGTAACGTTATTTTCTCGAGACACGTGACCATTTCGTGATGAAGAAACAACAAAAATGTAAAGAGAAACCCCAGAATAGTTTTGAAATTAACTCTTTCTAAAACTGACCTCTCTCTCTCCCTCTCTCTCTCACTACCTCTCTTTCTCTCTCTCTCTCTCTCTCTCTCTCAATTCTATTTAACGGGTCTCGCTATAATGGAGATATATTTGATGGGCCTTGTCACAAGGTTCAGATTACATTTTGAAATCAGTTTTCCAGATTTCGTTATAGATAATGTGAATTAGCTATCATTTTTCTTTTAAAGCAACCAATATTTTAAAATTTGGGTCTACAATAATGTCCATTTATGAGATCACTTCTCTGATAAAATTTAGATAAGATTTGGTGTTAATTCCTCCAGCCAAAAGGTTTAAGAATCGTTCAAGTACGAGGTGAAAAATGAGAGTAAATACAAAATATATTTATTATAATTTAAGAGATTTTGTTGTATTTTATTGTATATTGTATTAAAGCTTTCAATTTTTTTATTAAAAGAAAGAAAACATGACCTGCAAGATTGTAATTTAACAGATTTTCAACATTAACTGACATGCTTTCGACGATAAGTATGTTAAATTGAATGTTATACTACGTATATATATATATATATATATATATATATATATATATATATATATATATAAGTTATGAAGAATTTGGTAAACCGAATTTGTAAATCAAGGAGGATGAAATCCTGAGAGCTCAATGTGAAGAACAGAGCTAATATTTAATGAAAAACAGACCACTTTTAAGGTACCATTACAATAATTTATTTCACCAAAATCCTTTTAAAGGATTTTGTATCATCAGGTAACACTTCCAACAATAACCTGATGATCCAAAATCCTTTAAAAAGGATTTGGGTGAAAATAAATTATGTAATGGTACCTTTTTAAAGTGTCTGTTGTTCATTAAATATATATATATATATATATATATATATATATATATATATATATATATATGTGTGTGTGTGTGTGTGTGTGTGTGTGTGTGTGGAGAGAGAGAGAGAGAGAGAAAAGAAGAATGAGAGAGAGATCTACTAGCAGGTTTCGCCCGCTTACTATCGTCTTGCAAAGTAAGATATATTCACTGCTTGAAATCTCTGAAACAAAAATTTCAAATGAACATTTCATTCACAAATTGGCTTGTTATTGTTATGGAAAGTTTTACAAACCGATGTCAACTTGTTGAAGGCCAAGTAAAATGCAAATTTCAAACACTTTTCTGCATTATATAAGATGATATCCTTAAGCAGAACGGTTTATGGTATCAAAATCAAAACAATCCTCGAATAAAAGAACAGTAATGAAAGACAGTAAATTAATGAAATAAACTTTTTAAAAAATCAATATGCAAATTAGTTAAACCTGACGAGTGATATTGCTAAGAAGTAGACAATATATAACACAGATATTGAGCGATATGCATATACATTACTATAAAGTAGAACAGAGGCTTTTTAATCTCAAAATTCGTGAGGGAATGTATCTAATTTCGCATTTATTCGTATAGATTCAATCATGCATGTTTTAGTTAATTAGCTTCAAATGTTCAAATGTTGAATGCATAACTAACTTTTACACTATATTAATTTTATCTTATAAATTGTCCTCTGTTCTGTCACCCATGAAATGAAAATAATTGTTTGTACGGAAAATAAGGATCTACGTACATCAAATCGTATTTAAATTAAGTGGCGGCAGAAGAATTATCGTTGAACTTTTAAAAGGTAAGCTTAAACATTAATTCAATACTTAAATGCAGTGATCAACTTTGAGTTCTTTTGTAGTTTATTGATGCCTATCGCATCTACTCCTCCCTACCTATTGTGATGATGGCCAAACCAAGAGTCCGCCACAGAAGCTAGCTTAAATGCCGCTAGAGAAAGCGGCTTGTAAGCTAATTTATAATAAAACGTGTACTGCAATTTTGGATACAAAAGGAAAATTATAGTTACTCCCCCTCAACCATGAAAGCAACCATAATGGCTTGTATAATATATTAATATATATTTTTAACCTCGTATAATCTGGCAACCCTGCGTCTGAGCTGAGCGAAAATCCTTCCCTGTACCTAACTTTTCTAGGGCTTTTGAATGAGCTATGAATCATTGAAATCGTACCAGAGGAGTTACTTGGACCATACACACACTGTACTTTATATATATATATATATATATATATATAATTCATTTGTTTAAACAATATATTAAATGGATACTTAGATTTGCTCTGTTTTTATTTATTTATTAAACTTAAATTTATTTATTTGCATTTACCGGACTGAATATTCGAGAAATCTTGTTAGAGAAATAGGCGCACTCCGGCAGGATTCGAACCTGAGTTTCCTAAGGGAAATCGACATTAGATCTGACGTGCCTTAGACCACTCGACCACGTAGGACATTCTGATCAGGCCAAGACCAACAAATAATGTATTTTTTGTTTTGATCAAGAAGTTCTATATATTTTATAGTAAAATAACCCAAAATACATTTTAATAGCAAAATGACAATCAATTAAAAAAAATTACCACCAATACATTTTATTAACTACAAACTATATATCTATAAAATATAGCTTCACCTTGAAAGTATAAACTTATGTACAAAATATCTGCAGTTGAAGGCATAAAATTGTGTACAAAATATTTAGATTTCGGCATTTCGAGATTTTGATATGCCGCTAAACAAAAACAACCAAATCAAACATTGATGACATTTGCAAGAAACCCGTGACTTGGATATTAACCAGAAAACTTTGCAATGTGGCACACGTAATCGTGAGAAAGTCTTATACAAAAAATATCTATGAGGAGAATACTACTTTTTTAATAATTTATATCATTTTAAAGAAACAAAATGATCATTTGATGGTTATCGGTATTCACACACTAGTGAGTTTATTTTTTTTATCATTTCACCCAAAGCAAAGCGATAAAGCCACTAAGACGCATGTGGTGGGGTGTTGGAGTGTGAAAGAATATGAGAAAAAGAAAACATTATTAAGGAGAAAGAACAATAAAAGAAGAGGAATTAAGAATGCAGAAAATAACGATTGACATTGAATTTAAATTTTTAAAGATTAAACTTGACTGGCAGGCAAGAAGAGAATTCCACAGGCAAGAAGTGCAAGAGAAGAAACTGTTAACATAGAACTCACGGTTACATATAGCAATTTCAACTCTGAAATGATGAGACCTAGCTGCCAATCAAGTACTGCGCTTAAATGCACAAAGTCGACTTACCAAAGAGGAAAGCTCGTCAGAATAATTACCATGTTGAAAGTATTTATAGAAAAGGCACAGGGTAGCTACATTACGGCGAGGAGACAGTGGCTGAAGCTGAGATGCCAGGTTAGGACCAATAAAATTGCAGATTCTTCTTTGGATTTTATCAAGAATCTCTAAACACATAGCAGAAGCACCAGACTAGATGTGGTAGCAATATTCAATACACGGGTCTATGGTAGACTTATAAATACGGTTTAGATAAATATGAGAAGGGTTTCAATTTAAAAATCAGCCTTATGTATCCGCGGTCTGTGTTTTAATTGGAAAACCAGTCCTATGTATCCGCAGTTGATGTTTTAATTGGAAAATCGACACTAAGTATACACGGTTTCTGATTTAATTGGGAAATCGACACTAAGTATCCACGGTTTCTGATTTAATTGGGAAATCGACACTAAGTATTCACGGTTTCTGATTTAATTGGGAAATCGACACTAAGTATCCATGATTTCTGATTTAATTGGGAAATCGACACTAAGTATCCACGGTTTCTGATTTAATTGGGAAATCGACACTAAGTATCCACGGTTTCTGATTTAATTGGGAAATCGACACTAAGTATCCACGGTTACTGATTTAATTGGAAAATCGACATTAAATCACCATGGTTTCTGATTTAATTGGAAAATCGACACTAAGTATCCACGGTTTCTGATTTAATTGGGAAATCGACACTAAGTATTCACGGTTTCTGATTTAATTGGGAAATCGACACTAAGTATCCACGGTTTCTGATTTAATTGGAAAATCGACACTAAGTATCCACGGTTTCTGATTTAATTGGGAAATCGACACTAAGTATCCACGGTTTCTGATTTAATTGGGAAATCGACACTAAGTATCCATGGTTTCTGATTTAATTGGGAAATCGACACTAAGTATTCACGGTTTCTGATTTAATTATATTTGGTTTCTGATTTAATTGGGAAATCGACACTAAGTATCACGGTTTCTGATTTAATTGGGAAATCGACACTAAGTATCCACGGTTTCTGATTTAATTGGAAATCGACACTAAAAGTATCCACGGTTTCTGATTTAATTGGGAAATCGACACTAAGTATCACGGTTTCTGATTTAATTGGGAAATCGACACTAAAGTATCCACGGTTTCTGATTTAATTGGAAATCGACACTAAAGTATCCATGGTTTCTGTTTCCACGGTTTCTGATTTAATTGGGAAATCGACACTAAGTATCCACGGTTTCGATTTAATTGGGAAATCGACACTAAGTATTCCACGGTTTCTGATTTAATTGAAATCGACACTAAGTATTGGGAAATCGACACTAAGTATCCGGTTTCTGATTTAATTGGGAAATCGACACTAAGTATCCACGGTTTCTGATTTAATTGGGAAATCGACACTAAAGTATCCACGGTTTCTGATTTAATTGGGAAATCGAATAAAGTATCCACGGTTTCTGATTTAATTGGGAAATCGACACTAAGTATCCATGGTTTCTGATTTTGGGAAATCGACACTAAGTATCCATGGTTTCTGATTTAATTGGAAAATCGACACTAAGTATCCATGGTTTCTGATTTAATTGGGAAATCGACACTAAAGTATCCATGGTTTCTGATTTAATTGGGAAATCGACTAATTATCCATTTTGACGGCATTTTAAAGTATCCATGGTTTCTGATTTAATTGGGAAATCGACACTAAGTATCCATGTTTTTCTGATTTAATTGGGGTTTCTGGTTTCTGATTTAATTGGAAATCGACACTAAGTATCCATGGTTTCTGATTTAATTGGGAAATCGACACTAAGTATCCACGGTTTCTGATTTTTGGAAATCGACACTAAGTATCCACGGTTTCTGATTTAATTGGGAAATCGTCTAAGTATCCATGGTGATTTAATTGGAAATCGACACTAAGTATCCACGGTTTCTGATTTAATTGGGAAATCGACACTAAGTATCGATGGTTTCTGATTTAATT